GTGGTCTCGGAGGGGAGCCGGGCAGGCTGGCAGACCCCACCACACTGTGGCCAGACATCTTTCCCCCTCCATCCCCAATGGGTAGTTCTGCTGGAAGGGGCCCCTTTCCCCACTGTGTAGCTGGTGTCTCGCCTGAGAGGACCCAGAGCTCGATTGCAATCCCAGGTGTGACCGTAACATGCACAGAAATAAATCAGTAGCTCACATTTCTGTAAGCTTATTCTGCTTGCGGACCAGTGGAATCCTTCAGCGAAGGCCAGAAGCTGCTGATACCATTATTTCTGTTCACTATTCACACCCTCCTCACATTTAAGCCTTTCATCCTCAGCTCCATCCCACCTTTATCTCTGCCAGCTAAAAGCCACTAGATAATTTTACCTCTAACTTTCCCGGGAGCAAACGTGGACGCTCCGAAAGCTTCTAGGAAACTCAGCTCTAATAGTAGCATCTTTGTGTCGGGGATCCTCCAGCAATAACATAAAAAATGGCTAGCAGAGTTAAGGGGGAAAATCACAGCAAGGCCTAGTATCACTCATTGCTTTCGGGTTACAGTTCCCAAGTGATAACAGCTATTAGCAACACTTTGACGGCTTCCCTACCGTGGAGGGGAGGGCAGGAGACAGAAAACATGTCAAGCCATCACCTCCATGTTAAGTGATAAGTACCTATTTAGATGGCAGAGTTAAAGCTGAATGCATCAAGCAGGGAACACTTTGTGCCAAAATAAAAAAATAAAAAAAAAAAAAAGAAAAAGGCCATATAGATACGTAAAAAGCGGGGTTAGGGTATTTGTTCTGCTGACAGCAGCTGTGATGGATTGTTTAAGAAAAATAGACTCCCTGTGTTTTTCCAGGGCTATCAGAAAGCAGGAGTCCAGCACTTTAATACTCTCAAATGACTGGCCTTGAGAGGCAGCAGAATGTCAGCGGCACCGGCTGGGCTCTCCCAGCGCTGACATCTGCCCCGGCCACCGGCGAGAAGCAGCGCTTAGGGCCGGGGGCGGTGCGTGCCGGCAATTTCCATCCATCTCCTCGGGCCAGCAACTGCACCCTGACACCCGTCCCCTCCCCTCCTGCTGCCCCGGACCCATAGCCTGTGGGTCGAGAGCCGGCGGTGTGTTGGCACATCTGCCCTTGCCGAGCTGCCCGCGGCTTCTCCGACCGAGCAGGGAGGAGCGGGTCCGGAGAGCGATGGATGGACTGGGATTGCAGCAGCTGGCACACGTGATGCACGTTTGAGTCATGCCAGTCCAGCCAGCCTATTTATATACACGAACTATATGTTGTTCCTAATTCCAACGAGGCTGCTGAAACCTTTGCAGATGCTGCAGCCCAGCTCAGCAGAATGGCACGGTCCATGTAGGGTGTAGGGAGCTACCAGGGTGTGAATGTCACAGCGTGAGCAAGGCTTACGTGGCCTCTGCTTACTGCCCTGCCACGTGCCCAGGGAGAGCCCAAATCCAGGGATGCAGGCGGGTCCAGCCATACATCCAGGCACGTGGCTTCCCCTTGGCATGGCACAGCTGGGCTCCGAGGGGTAGGAAGGAAGCACCGAGCAGGGCCACGGCAGGAGGGGCAGGAGGAAGGAGGGTGTACAGGGCTCGGGCAAGATTGATGGCCTCGTTGCCATTAAGAAAAAAATTAGCCGGTGGCGGCTATCATATTAAAGGGTGAAGAAGCCGTGAATTATTTTCTTAAAGATCTTATCACTTACAATGATAATTTTACCTTCCAAAAGGCCACTTTTAATGAGGCAAGCCAGGCAAAAAGTCATGATTTAATGCCAGATTTTTTTTTCCAAACACATTTTACTGCTTTTTTGTCCATGTTTAAAAAGCGCCGGTGACCTTTTTTTATTTAGCTTGCCCCAGGTGTAATGCTCAGGCTGATCCTCTCAGGGTTTATAACCTCCGCAGAGAGTGCCTTTACCCAATGGAGAGATGATTTAAAGGGGGAGGGAGAAATATGAGGCTGCACGGCTCCTCGCACAAGGCCCTTGCTCCATCTCTGATGCTGGGAGCCATGGTTTGCCAATGGAGGGGGAACTGGGAAGGGAGGAGGATGCTCTCACCCCAGTAGCCCAGCCTTGAAGGGGAGCTGGGCTGAACTGGCAACCAGGCAGGGATGAGGTGGCTGGTGGCCTTTCCCCAGGGGAGAAGGGACATCTCAGCATCAAAGCTGATCTACACCATGCCAAAACAGCTGGTCCCCAAGGTAGGGAACATCTCCACAGGGCCGTACAGTGCGCCTGTCTGCACACAGAGTGCCCAGCACCACGTTTTTGAGGTGGGAAGCCAGAATTTAGGTCTGCCCTTCAGCATGGGCACGCACAAGGGCTGGGAAGATACATGTAAAGCTGCCTTTTCCCTCCAAAGTCATCTTCCCAGATGCTGGTTGAGAGAGGGATGAGGTTTGTATCACTGCCCCTTCCCCGCTTGCTGGTACCTGGGTGGGAGTGATGCCCAGGATCATCCTCACTGCTTAGCCACTGGAAAACAGACCCAACATGACACTTTGGGATAAAAGAGGCCAAAATTGGGATGGCAGAGAGACTGGCTTAATGCAGAAATGAAAGGCACCCTGATGGCAAGTGCCTTTCCTAATCCCTGCGCGCCAGAGCCTGCATCCCTGCCTGCCCCCATCCCTGCCTGAAAGGCAAAGTGTGGCACAGTGCACGGAAATGAGAAAAACAAATGAAGTCAAGTTTCCTAAGAGTGAAGGGGAAGTGTGACTTGGCATCTCTAACGCTGTGTTTAACATGCCGGCGAGGTATTTAGAATTGAAGTGCTTGCACACAATTTAAAAATAGACAGTTTATTAATCTAAACTGCAAGTGTATGTAGAAGAGGCCTCGAGATTGACATCTTTGGGATTAGTTTAGCCCTGCATTTTTCCAGAGGTCATCGCCATGGTGCTCAGGAGGTTTGTGGAATAAATGGGGCCGGCGTTCTTCCCAGGACCACACGCTAAAAACTAATACATAACGTTTAATTTACTGTCTCCATAGCTAGCCCAACCATTTTTCACATAATAATATTGGATTAGAGCTACCAGAAGCTGAGGGGGGAGCTGGAGGCGGGGAGGGTTTGTCTGTCTGTCGCCGAGGAATGGGGAGATGGGTATTTTTTCCCCCTGCTCTAGAATACATTGGAAGACAAAACGGATTTAACCCTGCCAGCTCCAGGGTGTTTGGCTTATTAGAGGAGGGAAAGGGCATTAGCACCACTGCAAGCAGGACTGTTGTTTGGAGTCATACCTGAAGGCGTTGAGCACCCATCCCTTCGTTTTGTAGGACATGTTCTTCGGAAACGGCCCTCTGTTTAGAGAATAAAGAAACTAAACAACAGCAGGAGGTCAGTCTGCACTCTGCTCCGCATGGTTATCAGAGGGCTTCTCCAGAAATAAATGAGCTGATCACCGATCACTGGTTGGGTTTGGCCAACACGTGAGGCAGGAGATTCCCCCTGCTCTGCCTGTCTCTCTCCTGGGAAGTGGAGGCTGGTCACCTGGGGCAGCCCTGGCTGCTGCCCCGAGCCCTTTGGGCTCCCACTGGCCCTCCCAGCGCCTGGCATCGCCGTTGGGCTGAGCTGAGGAGCATGCCAACCCTGAGATGTGGCCAACACAGCCCTTGGTGTTGATAGGAGGGACCGTGGCTGGGGAGATAACTGAGCACCCCAGCAGGTAACTCCCCCATGACCCCTTTCAGGACATCACGCCTCTGCACGGCCAGTAGAGCCATTCTTCATGGCAGAGACAGGCAGCGCAGACAGGGATGTGGTTCTTGCCCTCGGGGCAAGGTTGGCAGCTCATGCCCATGGCATTGAACACAGCATCCCAAATCCTCCTCCCCTGCCTCCATCCCAAGCCTGCACTCCTGCTGTGCTCCCCATGCTCTTCTCTCTGGGAGAGCTGTCCGAGCCCCAGGGGATCGCATCCCGCTGACTGAGCCGATTTGTACGCTGAGTCATTTTTCCACTCGCTCATATCTTTCCAAAAAATGCACATTTTTTTCCCACGTTTCATTTCAGCCCAGAGGCAAATGTTTCTGGAATACTTGCCTTTCTCCAAGGTATTATGCTTTTTAATAATGTTGTCACCACACTTGACCTGTCCAATTCAGATGATATCTACACTTCCCTTCGCAAACATACACATCTCTGAGCAGTCATTTATTGTCGAATCTTGCCAGCTGATTCTCAGAAACAAACATCTGGAGAGCTGCAATTCCAGTGTACTTTTTTTTTCACAATGTATTGGGCTATATTTAGTGGAGTTTAGCTAATTTATATTTTAAATTAGAATTTTAAATTGCATTTTCCCCCCAAATTCCTCCAATAATAAAGTTCACTTGCAACTCAGTGTACATTTTTTTTGATGCTGTCAAACTCCCGCAGTAATTTTCCCGCTAGAGTTCACTGTGTGTAGAATTTAGACTTACCTACTATTGACTTGAAGTTTATCAGTGATTTCTTAGGTCTCAAATATCACTGATCTTTTTAACCTTCTAAAAGGCCCTTTTTTTCCTGTGCTACTTATTAAAATAAATAGCATCATTACGGAAGGAAGAGGTAGTTGCGCTGCAAAGGTGCCGAGAGCTTTAGTGCAGTTTACAAAGCTATTGAGAGATTTAGTGGCACTTAAAGGGGAAGAAAAGCGCACGTTAGAGCCTTCACCTTCCCGTGTCACTTGTGTGGATTTCTGGTGTGGTCCTCGTGCATCATTTCCAGCAGGGACCGATTCTGCCCCCAGCCACCAGACCTGGGGACAAAATGAGCATCCCTTTGCTGCCAGATGGATCTGCGCTTTGCTAAACCCCGCAGTCTGGTCCCCTCGTGGAGCTGGGTCTCACGAGAAGCGCAGAGGCACATCCCCACACTCCGTCAGTCCATCCCAGCACAGCCCCACAGCCCAGCAAACACTCTCCGTGGCTCTGAGGACTGCTTAGCGAGAGACAGAAAGCTCGGCGACGCTCACAGCATGAATTTCTCCTTTCTCTTGCAGTCAATTTTGTTGTCGGCCTCAATCAAGCGGGAAGGAGATTCTCCGACAGCATCACCCCACTCCTCAGATGACATCCATCACTCGGACAGATACCAGGTAAGGAGGTGGATGCCGTTGCTTCTCTCAGCCTTAGGCAGGGAGCCAGCTTGCCCCATTGCCCGCAGCTCTCTGTGTGTGGTAGCACTGGCTCTTGGCTGTGCACCACTGCCCCAGCCCACCTGCCCACGGCATGGGGACCTGGGCACTTGGTCCCTCACACGGCTACAAAGGTGTTCTTTTGTTTGCAGAGTCCTCCCAGCTCTGACTTTAAACCACAGCCATGCAAAACCGCTTTACGTCTTTGTAGAGCTTTCCGTTGCATTATATTCATCGTCTCGGTCATTGCCATGGCTATGTTTGTCATTACGTACCTCATGCCACCTGAAAACTTTCAGAGAAGTGATTTTTCTGTGAAACAGGGAATGATGTCAGCCTGCAGCTGGCCAAAATTCTCCATTTCGCTGGTGTGCTGCTGCCCAGAAAACTGAGTCATGACTCCCACCCAAAAGAGAAATGGTTTTGGACCATCCACAGCCATGCCTGCATGTTTTATAGAACACTTTCTGCCCAGAGGAGCAGCAGGTCTTGGCTTGTGATGCAATGAGTAAAAGTTCAGAGAGATGGAGTAAGAAAAGAAGGGAAAGGCAGCAGCACAAGTACAGCTTCGCTTGTTTTAAGTCCGTCTGTATTTTTGGGGCGGGCTGGCACACTTGACTCCGACTCAATGCACATCCAAACTATTTGGTGGCCAGCCTGCACTCAGCCACTGGCTTCACGTAAGCTCTGAAAGGCAGCAGATAAATTAATGGTGGTCCTCAGCAGAGACCCAAGAGTGCCTCTACCTGCTGGGTGGACAGGCTGGGTGGGCCAAGGCTGTACCCATCACCCTGCGTCCTGCAGTACTCTGCAGCGATAGCCTGTGCCCAGGGACTGGCAGATGGTCAGGTCCTCCTGCATCGGCCACTTGGCATCAGCCAGGTCTGCGTTTGGATCTGCAGAGGGAGAGGCTGATGACCAGTGCCAGGATCTAACCAAGCAGCCCCAGTTGAAGCACATGTTCCTGAAGACAGGTCCTGTTAGTAGTATACGTCTACATTTTTTTCCCATTATTCTCTCCTCTGTCGTATTTATTGGTTATATTATCAAATATGGGCCAGATCCGCCATTGTTTGCTGCGTATTCCCACGTAGCCTTCAGTTATAACTTGGTGTCACATCACAAGTCACTTTCCCCTTGTATGAGACCTGGTGCAAAGAGATGAGACCTGGTGCAAAGTAAGAGAAGCCAAACCCTGCAGAAGATACAGAAATGCCCAATTCAGGTAATCCCGCTCTCTTTCCTGCCTGTTTATTAAGGCTAATAAATAAATCATGTTCTTTTCAAAAGGGTGTGGAAGAGACTTTTGCCATGGAGAGATTTTTGTTGGAGAACACCCCTCCCTTTCCACTCCTCCAGACTTCAGCCTCTGTGAAATTGGTGGTCCCTTGCAGTCCTCCCTTCCTATAAATTTTTATTATGTCATACTTGAGGACAAATATCCTCAGCAGAAGCCCCCGCTATGCGCTGAGCCTAGCTAGTCTCTAATGTGTTTTAAGTTTGTGAGTGTATTTTATGGAGGGTTGCAGCCCTTAATGCAAATGTGTAATGGGGAGTTGTAAGTTCTGCTCTGCAGGGAGAAAAGACCTCTGGGGTCTGATTTTCATTTACGCCCGTGCTGGCTGCGCTGTGCTGCTCTGGCAGCGCCAAGGGACCGCAGAGTGGGTGCCAGGGTTGTGTAAAGCCTCAGCGTTTCCTTCATAAAACCACAATGTGAGTGAGAATTCAGTCTCCCTGGCCTACCAAGGGGAATGCTCAGGAAGCAGAGCAGAAGACTCTCATGGGTGGGTGACTTTAAGGGCTACAAAATTGAGCTTTCCATATATATGCAGAGCTGTGCTGGAATTATGAATGTCCCTTGTGTTGTCTGTGATCTAATCGTGAATATACAGCGTATTAGTAACACGCTAGAACATGAGTTATTGGCGTATAGGTTTTCAGAATTCCTGTGGCTTGGTTTTCTTGGTCTTCATGCTTATTTACCATGGGGATATTTAGGGAAAAAGGAGATTTCTGAATAGGAGTGCTACAGGAATAGAGGCTTGCACAGCTTGTGTTGCTCCCCGTGCTGAGGGAGCTGGAGTGGAGGCAGTGAGGCGGCTCGGGGACGTGGGGAGGGGAAATCCCGTTGCCTTCCCTCTGCCAAGCCTGGTTGCTGGAGCTCGGTACGTGGACTCAGAGGGCTGTGCCGCCATCCAGCGTGACCTGGATAGGCTGGAGAGCTGGGCAGAGAAGAACCAAATGATGTTCAGGTAGGGTCCTGCACCTGGGGAGGAAGAACCCCAGGCACCAATATAGGGTAGGGGTGGATTTTCTGGAAAGCACTACTAAGGAGAAGGACCTGGGAGTCCTGGTGGATGGCAAACTTTCCATGAGCCAGAAACGTGCCCATGTTGCCAAGAGGGCCAATGGAATCCTGGGCTGCATAGGGAATAGTGTGGCCAGTAGGTCAAGGGAGGTCATTCTCCCCCTCTACTCTGCACTGGTGAGGCCACAACTGGAATACTGCGTCCAGTTCTGGGCTTCCCAGTTCAAGAGAGAGAGAACTACTGGAGAGAGTCCAACGTAGGGCAACCAAGATGATTAAGGGATTGGAGCACCTCCCTTACGAGGAAAGGCTCAAAGAGCTAGGGTTCTTTAGCCTGGAGAAGACTGAGGGGACACCTCATCTATGTTTACAAGTACCTAAACGGTGGGTTGAAGGATGATGGAGCTGGACTCTTTTCAGTGGTTCCCAGTGACAGGACAAGGGGCACAAGCTGGAACACAGGAAGTTCCATTCAAATATGAGGAAGAACTTCTTTACGGTGAGGGTGACAGAGCACTGGAACAGGCTGCCCAGGGGGGTTGTAGAGTCCCCTTCTCTGGAGATTTTCAAGACCTGCCTGGATGCAGTCCTGAGTAATGTGCTCTGGGCAATCCTGCTTTGGCAGGGGAGTTGGACTAGATGATCTCTAGAAGGTCCCTTCCAACTCTGACAATTCCGTGATTCCATGACTCTGATTGGACTGAGGTGGTGGCAGCTGGTGTAGCACAGGACCTTGTGGCATGGGTCAGTGATGGGTCCTCCTCTGAGATACAGCATGTCCTGTCAGCTGGGGCTTTTCCTGCACTCCGAGTAAAAATAAAGCCATTTTAGTTGGATTTAGATACAGTCCTTCCTCGAATCCCCAGCAGAGAAACCATCAGCAAATTATAAAGCATTCATCATACAGCAAAGACATCATTTCGGGCTCAGAGACAGATGACCTCGCGTGGGTCAGCTGAGCCCAGAGAATATTGGTGGCTGAATAACAGGGGGAGTGAGTATAACTGAAAGCCTAAAGTCCTCATCCAGGAAAGGCTCCCCTCCCCTCCATCTCAACACCCACCATCTTCTCACACAGCAAAACACATTGGGGCGGTTGGTTGGGGGTTTTTTGTGGTTTTTTCCCTCTGAAGGAGGAGACGCAGATTGTCAGTTGCCAGAGGGAAGACCCCAAAATGTAGGTTTGACCCCAAGAAACAAAGTCTGGGGAGCTGGCAGAACAGAGAACAAATGGGACAGCTGTGCTGCCCAATTTCTATCTCCCCCCCTGCCCCAGCTCCATCCTGCCCTCAGGCTGCTCTGGTCCCCAGGACCATGCCCCACCACAGCCATGGGGCAGGAAGCCCAGGAGCCAGGTGCCGGCATCCCCACGGGACAGGCGGGATGGACAGGAAGGCCAAGGCTCCTCTCCCCAGGCCTGGGGCTCCCTGGCAGGGCTGGGGCTAGGGCTGGGTGGGGACCCTGCTGGGCCTCTGGGTCCCCATTGGCCACACGCCTCTGGGTCTCATGACCCTGCTGGGCCCTGATTGCCCAGGTGCCCTTGGGCCTCAAAGGTCCTCCAGTCCCTAATTGGGCAACAAAAGTTGGGGAGCGGTCATTCCTGGTTCCTGATTGGCCAGCAGCTTGGGTTACCGTTGGGCTGAGGGCCTCTGATTGGCTAGAGCGCTTGGGCCTGAAGAGCGTTCAATTCCTATTGGGCAAGAAAACCTGGCTTCTTGCTGCGCCTGAGTTCTGATTGGCCACCTGCCCCTGGAAGCAGTTGCCCCTGGGTCCTGATTGGCCACGTGCCCTTGTGTTTCAGTTGCTCCTGATTCCTGATTGGCCAGACTTTCTTGGGTCCCAGTTACCCCTGCTCTTTGATTGGCCAGGTATCCCGGGATTCCAACGGCCCCTGGGCCCTGATTGGCCGGGGCTCGCCGGGCCTTGCTGCCGCCTGTCGGTTGCCATGGGAACTTCCTCCTCTCGCGTCTCTCCCCGCCGGTTTCCTGGTGAACTTTCACCCGCTCGGCGGGCGGGTCACATGACCGGGGCCAACATGGCGGCGGCCGCTGGGGGCTGATCGGCGGCGCCTGCCGGGCCGCGCCGTATCCGCCCGCATCCCGGGCCGCGGGAGGGGGGTCCGCCCCGGGGGCCCGCCGCCCCGCTGCCCCACC